AAATCAACCTACCTTGTAAATCAAGGGTCGCGTGCTTTAACTCAGCAGCAGATTGTTGGTGATAGGGTCACTACCACTGCGGCTCTGGCACCACCCAACTACCTCATGAAAATAATAGAACTATTTTGGAGTCCTGATGCCCTGCAAGGAGTGCCCCCTGGCACAGTAATCTCCAGGAATTCTCCAGGAATCTCTCAGTACAGAGGCTGGGGAGATTGGTTTATTTGGATTCTTTCACTCCATCTGATCCACAGAGAGGGTAGAGGCATGACGTTATAAAAGTGGGTCGATTCCCTGATTACTCAAATGGCAAACCAAAATATCTTCTAAGAGAAACTAACTTGATATATTGTATTTATATTGTATCATTTTATTTTTGAAGCAGCTTCCTCATCACACGACTTGCAGTGGTTGTGTTTCATAATATAGTCAATGGTTTATAAAACATACACTGTGGTTCCTGTGAACTCCTACCGAATGGTGTTTTTGAAACGACAATATCCTTTTTCTAATGATGGGTCTATCAGGCTTTTGATACATTGTATACTGCATGGAAGGTTTGTGTGCATTTTAGATGCTTTAAGACCAGATTAATGGACCATTCACCACATGGCCGTTTGTTGGACGATCCTGATACAAATGGTGAGTGCGTTTGGCTACAAAAATAAGTCGCTCCACAGTTAAATGCTTTGAGATGTTTCACCACGATAAGGACCTATGAAAATCTTTCTTTCTTGTAAAGTGTTACATGAATCATTCAATTACTGAGAGAAAGTCCAGTTTTCTGCATCATTTCCATTTGAGGCCTGCTTATTGCAATGTGGATTTCACATTACTTCTAAGTCTTCCATCAAAGAAAGCAAGGATGGATAGAAGTCCCAGTGTTGGCAATGGATCACATCCCTGGGCTTCTTGTGAAGTTGAAGCACTATTATTTTTACACACCAGCTAATCTAGATGTCAAACATTTAAGAATGTTTGAAATATTGAGCTGTTTGTCTTGGGGTAAATTTGGGATGAGAGAGACACTGAATGAACTCGCTGCTCTTCAAAATGGTGCGATGGATCTTTAATGTTCAACTGAATTACTAGAACAGGTAAATTTGCTACAAACTTTAAAATCTCTTTTAAAGGAAGTATCTCTGATAATGTACAACCCTCAATATTACACTAGTGTCAGCCTAGATTATGGGGTCCTAATTTAAATATCGTATTATAATGCTCCGCAATTAAAAATTTAATAAGAATAGATGGATGTAAGAGGAAAATACTTTTTTTAAAAAAGGGGTAAAGAGGCTTGGTCTACCAACACGATTGCTATTTAAGTGGCTTTGAGCAGATTTGCAGAAGGTTACGTGCAGGTTAATGCCAGTGCTATTGGCTAGAATGTGTGTGGCATGTAAGATCCCAAGGGAAGGAACAAGGAGGAAAAGAATAAACTGTATCAGTAAAATGATATTTCCTGGAGCCTTTCAAAGATGTTCCCAATTCAATAGTATAGATAGGGAACATCCTCTGTTATGTGTTCTTGCAACACTGACCTCTGCTCTTTGCCCCTGGTTCTGGTTTTGGAATTGGCAGAAGCCCAAAAGTAAAGAACGGAAATGGTGAACTGCACACTTGTGAACTGAGCTGATCACTACTTTGAGAAAGAAAATATCTGCACCATGAATTACACAACAAAGTGTTTGATTTTTCTCTCCCAATCATCTCGCCTCCACTCGCCAATGTGATATCTCGTACTGCGCAGTGCTTCATAGCCGCTGGCAGGCAGCCAGCACAAGGTAACCATTCTTTTGTGAATCTGCTCATTAAGTGTCAGCTATGAGAATATGGTGAGTGGAGAACGTGACAGCTGCGCACAATCTGGTGCTCACTCAACATCCATTTTGCCCACAAAACACACAGTCACTCCACTTTAGAATATATCCTGTGAAGCACTTTCATGTCTTCTGACATGAAAGGCTCTATATCAAATGCAAGGATAATTATTATTATTCACATGTATTTTCCAGCAAGAGTCAATAAGGCAGTGATCAGGATAAAGAATCTTGGCGGAATTGTTTTTATTAGTTATGATCACAGGACATTCAGACTGAGATCATCTAACTCCATACAGATCAGGGATTAAACCTGAGATCTCAAATGGTTGAATACTAAAACTTGTGATACACAGAATATGTGCATTTTTTTAGACCTGGAAGCAACTTTAGGTCATACCAAAATACTGTATTGAAAAACATTATAGGAGTCAAATGGGGACTGCTAGAATTTAACGCTTTGAGACGTCTTGAAGACGTGATAAGGCGCTATATCAAATGCAAGGATTATTATTGTTAATAATAAGAAACAGTGATGCAATGTGTACACTTATATAACTGGGCACACGTGTGGTAAACACTTGCACTGTATTAATTACAACCTGGGATCAAACTACTAAATATATCTGTCTGAGATCTTTGATAAATAGTTTCACTATATTTGCTGCCCGCTGACATCAATAGCTTTCATTGAATAAAATGGGCTAGCAATAAAACAGAGACTGTTGCCAGCTGATGTCACAAACCACAGGCTGTAGCCTTCCTCAAAAGCATTTCCCACTTTTAAAATGAGCTCTATGAGGATTCAATAAAAGAAATACCAACACTGGCTTTGAGATTCAAACTGATAACATACTGCCCCTCGAGTTACAGTGAGGTTGAATGTGACACTGCAGCTTGCCACTATTAGATAACATATGTGTACATTGTATATGTATATAATTTGAATGAATGTGGACCAGCCTGTGTATTTTTCTTTTTAAGTGAGATTTGATAATAATAATAATAATAATAATCCTTGCATTTGATATAGCGCTTTTCACGTCGGGAGGACGTCCCAAAGCGCTTCACAGAACACACTGTAAAGTGAATTGACTGTATATTCATGGGCGAACGCGGCAGCCAATTGCGCACAGCAATGTCCCACAAACAGTCGTAGATTGAAAATGACCAATTTATTATTGTTTTTGGTTTTTGGAGGGATTATTATTAGGCGTGTGTAATCACACACTGAAATACAGAATGGAAAGTAGCTGAACTCGATAATGAGATCTAATTTCTTAGCAGGATTCCTTAATAAGGAATTGCAGAAATCCACCTAGATTTCTCGTTGATTTCTCTGTTTTGGAAGTAGTTGTTTGGAGTGGTATTTCTGGAGGTTGGAGTGACATGGGCACAGTATCCAGAATGAGTTCCGACATGCACAACTTGAATTGCTTATTAAGGAATTCTAAGAAATACAGTAAATTAGACCCTAGTATGTTAATATCCAGCTTGGCTCCAATTACTGGTTTCTAACTTAGAAAGTTGCTCTCATTAGTTAGCCTTTTCACTTCTTTTACGGAAATAAAAATATTTCTCTATAACCCTTCACTATTTTGGATTCTAAACAAATTCTAAGGTTCTGTTGATACAGACCAAGGACTGTTTTGACTCTGAATTCTGAGCATGTAGGATAATTAAAAGCACAGTTCTGTTGAGTTTTTCCACACCTCACGCCTGATCTTTTCTAGAGACAGTCCTGAAGTGTTAAGATTGCCCCAGGCTCTCTGTCCCTCAGACTCTTGCTTAGTTTTAGAAGCCTCACATTTGCAGTCTGTTGCAGCCCTGCTGGTGAAGGAGACACAATCTCTGACTAGTGGGATGTTCTCAGTGCATTAGGTCAGGCATCTGGATTGTATTACTTTTCAGACTGCTCTCTTCTCTTCCCCTCCCCCTCCACCCCCCCCTCCCAAACACTTGCAAACACACACTCACTCCCCTGAGATTCCAACCTCTTTGTCCAGAGCTCCTACAGGATGAGACAAAATGCAAGCATTTCCCACTCGTGATGTTTCACTCTTTACACCAGAGCTAAATACGTGGAACATTCTGAGAAGAAAATTAGCAAGTTCTTTACAGAAACCAGCTTGTGTGAAAATAGGAATAAATAGTCTGGTATCATGGGATCGAATCTTTATAATACGTGTGTGTGTGTGTCTTGTCTACAGCTGGTAACAACTGTCTGCAAGTGTCAATGAAGGGAAGGGTGATGAGTTTTCTTTTATTACAAGTATTTAATGTGCATAGACATCATGATGCATAAAATTATTCTAGTCAGGTTATACCTATATAAAATCAACAAATCAAATGTAAGAGTTAACTGGGTCAATAATTATTGCCCCAGATTTTGATCAAGATCAGCCTCTGGGTACATTATTGGGTTGGGATTCTGGAAAGACAAGACCAATTAACTTTCTTCATCTGTGATCAAATGTGTGTTTTATTCACAATTGCATTATTGAGTCTGTTTGATAACAGGGAATAGAAACTATGCCCATCTCCTGTTTATTGCTGTAACACACACCTTCAATTATAGTGTGGAATATTTGGAAAGTCCAACAATCCATTCAGCTTTGAAACACAAATGGTCTATTGGGGACCTGGTCAGTTGTCATATGTCAGTGCAACAGATGGAAAGGGGGCTTGGATTGATGTGAGGTGCTCAGTGATTCAACATCCCACAAGTGCTCAGAGTGACTTCCGTTTGTGACAGTATTGACCTGCTGACACTAGCCACTGTTTCACTGAACACAAACTGAACCAGTTCTAGTGAAACTTACCTGACCATTTCCTAAAAGTGGACTGATACTGTCAGGAGCAAGACACAGTGTCCATCCAGCACAGACCTGCAGATTGGTCTTGTGCTTTTAATCCCAATTCCTCTCAGTGTGTGTGTGTTTACAGAGGTTCTTTACATGTTATCTCACTTTGAAACTAAGATCACAAAAATTGAGATGGGTTCTAGAAACGTTAATGATAATTCCAAGAATCTTGTTATTTTAAAGGGCACAGATGGATTTTTCATGTGTAAGACATTAATTGCAAATAATCATTTCTAAATAGATAAGAGCTGAAATGTCTAGCAGAGGTGTGGATTAACCATCCTCTCCTATGTTTATTACAAGCCACTGTTCTTACCTGGGGGCAGTCCTTGATGTAATGGCCCTTGTTGAAGCAGAGATGGCACAGATAGTTTGGTGGAGGTCTTTTGCCGGGTTTCCGAGGTTCTGCCGATAAAGATAGATCCGAGAAATGGTCTGTCAGACAACTCAGCCCGTCCACAATGTTACTCAGAGAACCATAGGGGGAAGCACTCTTGTATAAACCGTTGGTAATAGCCTGGATAACGGACAACATTCAATATTTAAAATGTGTTTTCTACATTGCAAACAATTCTGATGTAAATATTTAACATTTATCTGATGAAATCAAATCAAAACACAGTAGGATCTTTTTACAACACACAGCAAAGCATTCCAGATACAAAACACAGTATAAAGCTATACAATGAGTTGGCTACCCTGGACATTTCATTCTTTGTAATATAATCTGTCATTAGAACTTTTACAGCCATTAATGATTAGGTGCTTTCACACCAAATCGCCCAATAACATCAGTAAGTGTTGACGTACTGTGTATTAATTGTTGCTCAGTTCAATGAACATCTGGAAAGATGTTATTGAGGTAGTTTCGAACTGCGGTTTGAGTTTTTTATTGCAATAGTTTGGGAATATTCAATTAAAAAACAAGCACCTGTGACTCCCTTTAACAGGGGAACTGAATACAATCTTGTAAGTTACAGGAGCGCAGACACACACACCTAGTAAGAGGACAGGGGAGCGATCAGCTGGTGGAGGGGACTGACATTGACCTCCCCCTGGATGTCAAGGTTTGATTTTACATCCAAAGAAAGAAAGTTGTTTCTGTGCTTCTATGTACTGCAGTTTAATGTGGCAGATTTGACGCAGAAATTGAGCCAATTTCTTGGCAAAGGGGCTATTAATCAACATTAACAACTGTAAGACCTCAAGTTCACATGTGGGGAAGGAATCCCGAAACTCATGGCATATAAGTAACCCTGGTTCCCAGTTCACTTCTAACCGATAGTTTCACCCTCCATTCACCCCCCCACCCACTCACCCCAACCCCCACCCACCCCAACCCCCACCCACCACAAGCACAACATACAGCAGTCAACATGAGAAATTGATGTGACATTTATGTACAAGAATCGAAAGTCTCCCAATACGTTCACCGTTCAGCATTGTACACCCACATAGAGAGAGGGATTGTTTATGCTGTGGTGTTGGGTTTGTCAGTTGGAGGAGGAGGAGGAGGAGGAGAATAAGTCCAAGTAAAAAACCGAGTCAGTCTCTGTACGTTTCAGCTTTGGTTGAGAACAGACAGTTATTTTTAAGAGAGGCGACAACTGGTGCGGACCGAGTCAGCTGTCAAGTTTATGAGGATCTGCTCGGGAGCTTTTGAAGTGAAAGTTAAACAAAGCGACTTGTCATGTGTTTGTGTGTTTGTGTGGGTGGGATGGAGGGGGGAGGGGGGGAGAGGGTTAACCCTTTGCTTCTGTACGGCAGTTATTAACCTTCCAAAATAACCCCAACCCGTGTACAGTCCACACGAGCATTTGGTGTATTCCGTTTACACGAGACCTATTGATGTAAACTGTGCAGCTGTTCCGTCCCCGGGCAGAGCCCCCCCTCCCCTCCCCTTCCCCCTCCCCACAACCCCACCCCTCCCCTACAACCCCCCCACCCCAGTGCACACTCAGCTCAGCCAGTGACAGCACGACAAGAGCTGGACATGCCGTGTGCACGCGGGGAACCGACAAGGAAAGCCTCTCACACTGCAGATGACTGTCACGCACCGCGGGGCTTATTAGCGTCTTCTGTTGCGGCCAATTCCAGATCTGAAACCCATTAGCGGCTAAAACAATGCCCCGTTGCTCCGCGTTGGATTAAACCTAACACTGCTCTTAAAAGGGGCAATGGTCACAGCTTCAGGGTTCGGTTTGTTGAGGGGAGTGTTTCCTAACCCCCACACACACCCACATACCCACCCACACACACACCCACTCACCCACATACCCACCCACACACACACCCACCCACACACACACACATACCCACCCACCCACCCACCCACACACACACACAACGCTGCTATTACTTTAAGGGGATTGAAACGAGACGTAGCAGATAAACGGTGCTGCTCCCCCCCAGGACTTAATGGATTTAACTGGGAGTGCACAAATTGCATCAGATCATCAAAGACCAACACTGGAACAGTAACTGATTGCTCTGCAGTGAATTCCTGGATAACTTATTGAAGCTTTTGCGATTGGGTTGAATCCCTTTTCTGGAGTATCTTAAGAGCGCATATACCACAGAGATACCCCCCCCACACACACACTCCAGCTCAACACTATTTAAGTATATGTACTATTTAAGTACATATTTAAGATTTGTTATAGTTTTAATCACAATCCCAACATTCTATGTTGTTAATTCCGTTCGATTATTTGTATTTTTAAAAGGTGAACATGTTTTATTCCTGTGAGTTTATCCCCCCTCCCCCTCTGCCTTCCCCCGGGGCATCATTTGCTCGAAAAGAAAGTTTCCAGCTTGTATCCACGTTGTCAGTCAGTCAGTCAGTCAGGCATTGCCCTTTTAAGAACAAAACTCGAGCAGTTCCAGTTTGCGTTTAACGATAGATTCGGGGTAAGGAGAGCGATGGTATGAGTGTATATATGGCCGTTTATTTTCGTCGGGTCACGAGCAACCAGATATTCTTCCTTTAAAATAATTGCAGAGGGTCCTATTTGGTTAATGCAATCTACACAGACTTGGCCACAGTTACTCCCCTCATACTCTCTGCAGAATGCAGATCACGCACCCAACCGCAGCCAAGACCTCTGCGTGGCTCATGCTACACCAGTCTCGCCTTTTGAAACTGAATGGCTATCTGTTTGCTTCCACCACCATCAATCCCCCACCCCAACCAACACACACACACACACACACACTCCTCGAGTTTCCACATCTGTATGTTAGAGCAGACTCAGCAAATGCCCGTTGATACAAATCAGTGTTTATCCAAAGCCTCACTGCATTGCCCACTAGTTTTGAAAGTGTTTCGCTTTTGGCTGGAAGTTTGGTTACTGCAATGTGGCTGTCAATCACAGTCAGTGATTCACAGGGGGATTTTTTGGGGGGAGGAAGAGAGGGAACGAGTCTTTAACTATGAATTTATATCAGTTCAGGACCCCGCGGCTGACACCAGCATCTGGTAATATCCCAGTTCAAAACTATTTTAGTCGTATGATTCCATGGTACAGAACTTTCAATTATTAACCAACATGTCAACAGCGTTTCCATTTAGATAAACTGCATTCCCCTGACATGCAGAATCCCATCTCGCTTCTATCATGCAATACCCCAACGACCCCCCACCACCACCCACCCCCCCACCCCCCCAAAAAAAAACAACAGAATATCGCTCAGCCAACTGAAAAGATTAGTCTTGATTTTAAAAAGTTCCCCCCACACACACACAAAAAAAAGAACTGGGCTTAATGGTGGGCGTAAATGAGAAGGTGAGATGCGCAGAGTCGCTGCACGTATCAGAAACTTCTTAAAAGAATCGGCTTCTTCTAAAACTATGCACTCCCGACCACACACCCAACTGCTGCCCTCTGCAAAAAAAACACATCACCACCGCATCGCGTCCGAGAAACGATCGGGGTGTGGGGGTGTGGGGAGGTGGAGGGGTGGGGAGCGGTTTTCCTTCGTGGTAGTCGTTTCTTTCTCTAAAGGCAAAGCGCACCTCGTTCCTCTGAAGTTGGGAAAAGTTGTTCAAGTAGTTGGAATAAAGCGAAGTGCCCAGATCGGCCGCCTTGGCGTAGTTGAGATCGTGGTGGTGGTGGTGGTGGTGGTGGTGGGACGAAGGCTCGGGTCTGAAGGCATCGAAAGCGCTCGGCTGGTGGGTGTCCTGCAGGGACAGGTAGACCCAGTTCAGGAGCTGTGTCGGCTGGTACACGGAGGCACTCGTGTCGATCGCCGACAGCAAACTCATCCTCGCTGTGTGGCTCCGGTCGCCTTTTGCTCACTGGCCGCAGCGCGCAGAGGAGATGTGGGAGTCCCGGGCCAGGCCAGGCCAGCCCTGCTGCTGCTGTCCGCTTGTGCACCCGGGGGGGGGGTGTGGGGGGGGGGGGGGTGTAAGGGGGGGTGTAAGGGGGTGGGTGGGTGTTTGGGTGATGTTGTGGGAAGTTTTTTGGGGGGAGAGCGCCGCCGCTGATCCGCTATAGCTCTTTATTCCCCCCACGGCCAGAGTGGCTCTCCGGCAGCCAATCAGCGGCCGCCGACTGACACCCGGAAGTACGTCACACGCCACCGCTTGGATACATTGGCACCGATCGGGAGCTCCGGGAGACCGACCGTCTTACAGTCTCTCTCTCTCTCTCTCTGTCTGTCTGTCTCTCTCCCTCTCCCCTCTCTCTCTCTCTCCCTCTCTCCCCCTCTCTCGCACTTCATTTAAAAAATTAATTGTTTTAATTTCATAATAAAATAAAAAAAGGATCTCTGAGCGTTTGCTCGGGGATTCGATTCCGATTCTTTCTATATATATATATATATATATATGGATAGATATCTATATATAAAGAAAGGAACACATCACCAGGTCGCGCGGCTTCATATAGCAAATGATCACTTGTTCCTGGGGGTCCGATCGATCACTGGGTTCCTGCCAATGCACTGCAGGTACACAAAAGTGTGTGAAGCACAGATTCATTCCAAGTGATGTCTCGACATCGCACGATCCCCTTTCACGGGATGTCCTGCGAAGCGCCCCGAGACGCCTCGACGACGCCATAAGGCGCTCTGTGTCAAACGCAAGGGTTGTTTTGTCGCTGTCCTCACCAATGGTTAGTTTCTGAATCGACGGTACGTGTTATTTTAGTGGGAGTGCAACCCCCCCCCCCCCTCCCCCTCCCACCCCCCACCCCCCGACATCGCGCATCTGTGCAGTGACTTTACGTTTCGAAAGCGTCTCTCCAGACAGTGTAATCCCGGACCGAATCTGGTTCCACTCACCATCGCATTCTCCGCACAGCTCTTTTTAACGATTATTTACAACGTCTCTGATAAGATCGGTGCCTCTCGAGTTTAGTTAAATTGGATTACAATAAACTCAGCCACAAGTGATCACCTTACAAGGGAATGTCTGACATTGGACCGCGAGAAAAGTGGCTTTCACAGACTTACTCCCCCACCCACCCCCCCCCCACCCCCTCCCCTCCATCCCCCCCATCCCACCTCCAAATCTTGGCCCGTCTCTGGAGTTTCAGTCCAAACAGAACTCGCTCCCACAGACAAGCAGCCACATCGAAATGTAACCGTCTTGTGTGTTTTTTTTTATATGGCCTTAAAAAAAAATTCCAAAGGCATTTTACAAATAAACTCCTGTAACGTTGGCTTTTGCGTGTACTCGACGTGCGTCGGTCAGTGACTTCGCTGCGGCTTTCGTGGCGCGATGTTCACTGTTGTTTCCTTGAACTTAAAACTCGACGCAAAGCCTCGAGCAGATCCTGCACCGAAATCCGCTATCTGAGTGTCCTTCGCTGCAAACATCACGATGGAGTTATAATAATTAACAGAATTAACTGAATTCACTGGAGCAGAACTAACAGCGAATAATTCTATGCGTTCCTAAACGCGCGGTGGGCAAACAATCAAAGAGAAAGGGCGACTTATTGCACACATTTCCATTCGATTGAAATGTTGGAGAATCTCCTAATTAATTATCCACGAAACTTTCACAACTCTTCATTGGTTTTTTTTGCAACGGATCGGTTTGATCCTCTGTACCTTCAGTTGTGTGTACATTGTTGTTTTATCCAATTGCACTTTTAAATCAACAGACCAGCAGAGAGAAAACAGCCGATCACTCTTCACTCTGTTGCATTCCCATTGGTACCTGAGATGGCTCAAAATCAGCGGCTTCCTTCTCAAAACAGTATGGTTTTTTTTCTGTTTAAACTAATAGATCTTCGCTGTGCACGAAGTCAGGCCAGAGTCAACATTGCACAATTCGTGTTCTAGGATGAATCGATTTGCAAAAGGGGGTATTAACATGTGCTCGATAAGTTCTGTAAATATCAGACAAGATGGTTTATTTTTTTTGTCCGAAATCCGATAGCTCTATCGTTCCCACTTGGCTGATGACATTTGACTACGCAGTGTTTGAGAAAGACACTATTCAGCAGTTTTCTAAGTCTCCTTTTAAGTATCAGATCACAACATTGTTAAATATTAAGATATAAATGCCAGTCGTTTTTTTAACAGTCCTATGGTTTTTTTCGCAGACATTCCCAATTATGTGCGCGTAATGTTTTTCATTTGTAACAATTTATATTTTGAAAACGTTTTGCTTGGGTCATTTAATCACTCCACAATGTGAAGTCAACAAGCTCCCACTGAAAGCAAGAACCCTTCCTGCCTCTTCAAATGTTTTAGTGATAGTGTATAATGATTCATACAAACTCCATCAAGCGCTGATGCTATCTGTTCACTTGGGCCCATTATCTTGTATTGTCAATATTGAAGATGAATTTCTGTGAATGTTATTCATATCTGTGGATCAGAAAGCAGATCTGATCTGATTTAGATGTTTAAATGGATTGTTTGACTACTCTGTCCCTGGCTCTTTAGTCTCTGTGTATAGATTACATGCATACAATCTAGAATATATGCGGAGTAAGTGTATAAAATATTTGTAGTGTATATATAGACTAGAGTATATACAATATAAAACAACAACTTGCATTTATACAGCGCCCTCCAAGCAGGGTAGTGTCTCAGAGCACTTAACAGTGGTGGAGCCTGACTCCAAACTTGGGGTGTGGGGGGGGGGGGGGGGGGGTTGCCGGGTGTACAGTCAAAAAGGAAGGTTTTCAGGCGGAACTTGGAAAAGAGGAGAGAGGAAGTAAGGCGGAGGAATTGAGGAAGAGTGTTCCAGAGTTTCGGGGGCGTAGGGGTTGAAAGCACGACCTCCAATGGTGGAGCGGGGTGGGCGAGGGACAAGCAGGATGCCGGTGTCAGTCGAGTGGAGGCGCCAGGTGGTGGATTGGGAGTGAAGAGGTTGGAGAGGTCGAGAAGGGGTGAAGGGATTTGAACACGAGTGTGAGGATCTTGAAGTGGGTCCGTTCGGTGATCGGCAGCCAGTTGAGCCTGGCCACAACTGATGAGATGGGGGTACGGAGTATATAGTATTGCAGAATAAATGTATACAGTGCATATTGTAGTGTAGAGTAAGTATATAGAGTATATAAAATGTAGAGTGAGTGTGATTGCCTGCACCAGTGTAAAATATAGAGTACATCCAATATAGAAAAAAGTGTATATAGTACATATAGCATAAAGTAAGTGGATAGAGTACATACGTTGTGGACTGAGTATTATAAAGTATATACAATGTATAGTAAACATATAGAGTACATACAGTGTAGAGTAAGCGTATAGTCTATACTTGATAAGCTGTTTTCTTACTATAATAACCTGTTTGTTCATGTACTGAACAGGAGAACCAGAGGACACAGCCTATAATTGAAGGGGGGTAAATTCAGAACAAATCTGTGGAAACACTACTTCAGTGAGCGAGTAGTAAACATACGGAACAGGCTCCCTAGGGAGATGGTGGAAGCAGAAAGTGTCATTTGTTTCAAGAACAAATTAGATAGATTTTTGTTAGAAAATAATATCTCGAGTTACAGTATATAGTTTGGGACATGACATGTCAAGCGACTGTCAGGATGGTGGAAGGTGAACTGGATGGACCTTGGTCTTCTTTCGCTTAGCAAATTCTTATATTCTTATGTAATATAGCGTAGAGTAAGTGTATGGAGTACATACAGTGTAGAGTAAGTGTTATAGAGTGCATACAGTGTAGAATAACTGTTAAAGAGTATATACAGTGTAGAGTAGGTGTTTTTAAGTTCACACAATGGTAAAATACCAAGTTGCAAGGATGATTGCATTAACACAGAACACTGAAGCAGGTCTGTACAAAGGATTCGGTGACTTAAACATATTAAACACAGATTTCCCATGAAACCTAAACATTCAGTGATAACTATTTGACTGCTGACTTCCGGAAACTCAAAACAAATAAATTTGCTTCAAAATTATTACACTGATCAGCAAACAAAAAGCAGATGTTGATTATGAATTGCACCACTTTAAATGTTTTAATATAATAATAACTTCCAAACATCTGTAATGCCTTTTACTGTTGGGTAAAATGTAATCTATCTCAAACACAAATGCAATCTGTCAGAATAATCACACAGCTATGTATGGAAATGTGTACTCAATACTGTGTGTTGCTGGATGCTGATGTGTTCTTACAAATACACAGCCACTAATCTTTACAGAAACTCTGTGAAGTTCTTTGAAAGGTTCTTGATGTTACAGTCATTCTATCAAATGCATAGATCAAAGGCATAGATCAAAGGCATGGGCCATCATATTATTATTATTTTTATTATTATTATGGCTACATTTCAAACCGGTCCAGTCTATAGTTTTTATGTAGCTATACCTCTCTACTGTTAGCTACACTGAAACAAAAACATGTATGTAATCCCTATTTCGAATCTTCGCAATAATTTGATAAGGTAATAAAATGATAAGGTATAAATAGTATTTACGTGGATTGCACGTGTTTGATAATAATAAGCCTTGCATTTGATATAGTGCCTTATTATGTCGTCGAGACTTCTCAGAGCGCTTCACAGAATATATTTTAGAAGTTAAATTAAGAAATGGCTTGTGTATGAATGTGTTTAGTCCTTCTTCTCAGCTTTCCCCACATATAAAGGTAAATGTCTAAAACTGGGTGGAGGATAGTGGTCTGGCAGATCATGCTGTAAATTCCTGCTGTCGCTAAAATCAGGGGTTACAAGACGCTCTCAGTGCAATGAACTCCACTATTCTCTGATCTCTGATGCTCCCTTGTGTTGAAGTCTGCCAAGACTGGCTTGTTCTCACAGTGATAAGGAAACGCGCTAAATATAACGTGGCAAGGCAGCCCAGGTATCGTTTAATGGACAACAAAATAAGTATTTTTTTAAAACAGGGGCGGTTCCTCTTCCTGAATGGATTTTACACATTGTTTCTGAGGAT